TAATGTTGCCTCCCTGCACATCACTAGAAGGGGGTTCACCTGTGCTGGCTCCTTTGTTGTCTCGTGAGGTTATTGAAAGCTCTTCATGTTACTTTCTCTCCAAGGCTATTTGTTTTTCTTTTTGGAATTATTTGAAGACTCAAGTGGGTATTCATACAAGTACTAAGAATTTGGCAAGGGCCATAAGGGCAGAGTAAAATGTGGATGATGTCACTTACCCAATATCATAGTATTGGAATTTGGAAACATTATAGGGTCCTAGATTTAGAAAGGGAAAGAATCATAGTGGTCATCACTAAAATTTGGAATGGTCAGATCTAGATCCTAGATCTAGAATGGGAAAATATCTTAGAAGTCATCTTGTCCAATCACTTTATTTTACAGATGAGGAAATTGAGGCTCAGAGAGATTAAGTCATATAGCCAAGGCAGTAGGGGAGGAAGAAGCCTTAAATATCTTCTAATCTAAACCTTTCACTTGGTAAATGAGGGAAATGAGATCCAAAACACTTAAAAGACTTGCTCATTATGTAGATTAGAAATAGTTGAGCTGAAATTTGAATGTAGACCTATGATGGCAAATGTCGTGCTATTTACACTATACTCTGCTGTCTTGTGATGAGAACGTTCTAAAGAATCCTAGGAAGCTTGACAAAGAAAGTTACATGTCAACTTGAAAGGCTTTTTCAAGTTAAATCAGTCTTCTGCCTCCCAGTCCCATGTAGGACAGTCAACCAACAATTATTGATTAATTGTTATGTGACAGGCACTGGGGATACAAAGGTAAAAGTGAAATATTCTCTCCCCTTAAGGAACTTACATTCCAATGGAGGAGATGATATTATACATAGAAGTATATTCATCATATATACCGGATGAATATAGGGTACATGTGTATAGGGGGGCATGGTGGTGGAGGAGGATATCAGTAAATGCTTAGAAAAGGTGAAACTTTTTTCTCTACTTTAAAAATGATTTGGCACCATGTAATTTGTACAGATTAGTTATCTGCAGGTCATTACTTGCTCCTCATGACTCAGTTGCCATTATGTTTTGGGAGATAGTAGTAAACAGCTATCATGTTTAAGCTTCAAAAGAAGAAAATGAATCATAAGCATGCTTGTCTTGAACTTTTGATAGTGGGACAAATAATTGAAGTAGCACTTGCTTCTACCCAGACAAGATGCCAGGTAGTTTTATGTTTATATTTAATGTCTCACTTACCCACTGAGTAAGTAATATGCACTATTACTGGTTAAACTGGGAAACAGGAAAAGGTGCTGTTTTTTTTTTCTGTCCTATTCTTGTGACCATCGAAGGCGATACATCTTCCTTTATCCCTACTGTGACCAAGGACTCTGTTCCATGGAAATGAAGGGAGGGAGATCTTATGACCTTTTGTGTAAGGGGATAGCATTCTCATGGAAGAGGCAAACCATCTCTGCATGGATCAAGATGAGAATACGGAAGGCAAAGGAGGAGGAGGAGGAGGTTGGTGATTCAGAGTTGGTGGTAAGGAAAGAGCAGGGCTTAGTGTGAATCAACTTCAAATGTAACAAATGCCATTCAAGAAAAAGGGCCACACTGTACCAGAAACTCCAAATACATGGGGTTTTACAGGGAAATTCTGGGAGTGGCATTCCCCACTGGGTTATTGCCAGTTAGGGGCATTCCATTAGAACTGGCAGATTCCCTTTAATTGCTGTAAGTATTCTCTTTGTTCAAGCTGCAGTAGCTTCTAATGCTTCTTGTTTATTCCAGATGCTAAAGGAGCTATGCCCTCTGGGAACCAGAGAGCTCAAAGCTATTTGTCTCCTTGTAGGGAAAAGAGGCTTAACAAATTACCAGGCACATCATTTGTGTAAGGAAATAGGACACTGATGTTAGTCTCTTGTTTGTCAGGGTTCCATGGACCGAGTCTTTCTATCCTTAACCCACATATCACTAAGCATGTGGTTAGAGCCCAGGATTTAGCTTCAGTTGTCAGATGGGCATTCATCCCAGAGAAAGTCATGGCCACCTTCTCTTATTAGTACCTAAGAGACCAACAGAAGCTATTTTCCCTTCCATTGGGTGCCCTGACACTGTTTAATTAATATCTGCCACATAACTAACTATTCTTAACCCTCCCCTGTCCCTACCCCCAAGCAACCTGAAGCCCATAGCTTCCTTCAGAAACTGGGCTATAGTCCTGATTTCTGCTCTTGTTTTTACCAAATTGGGAGTGTGACTTATAGTATAAGAAACTTACCAAATGCAAACAAGTAGATTCCCAGCTGGGCTCAGTGACTCATTACATTTCAGAAATCCCTGTTGAGGGGCATCTCTTGTTTTCTCCTTTTCTACTTTGATGGGTCTCAGGGAAACTTGAAAGGAAAAAGAATCAGAAGGAAAACAGTTTCAGGATGGTGCTGGTGCTGTCATTGAGGCTGAGGATTGGTTTATGACTGAGGCAGGACTAAGCCCCTGGATTCTTCGGTAGATGCCCTGTGGTTTGTGGTCATATTGGTGGGCTCTGCACAGACTTCAGAGACTAGGTTTTGCTCTCTAGAAGTTTCTTTTCTTTTCAATTCATGGAAAAAGAAGGCCTTGGATTTTCTTCCCTAACAGGCATGGGAAGAGGAAGAGGGACGATTTGGTTTAGAGACCATACTTCATTTTTCCTAACAAAAGACTTCCCAAAGGAGTCAAGGAGGAAGAGTGATTACTCAGATCTCATAGAGGAAGGAAGGTTCAGAAATGGAGGCAGGCATGTAGAGAGGAATCTGGAGATGGGAAAAGTACAATCAACCAGGACTAAAACAAACACAATTTCTTTGGGAGCATTTAGTTTTATACTTTGCTTTTGTTATTGAGAACAGTAGTAATGGCAGGGGGGTGGGGATATTCGCTTCTGTCTGCATTAACTCATTGGAGAGGCAAGCCTCATAAATATTACTAATCCCATTTTATGAAATGGGATTCTATGTTCCTCATCTATGGATGAGGAAACTGAGATCCAGAAATATTGTATCATATTGGGACCCTATAAGTAAAGAGAGGCAGGATCACAACATACAAAGAACTGGACTGGATGCTAAGGATAAAAAAAGAAAATAAAAGAATTCCTTCTTTCAAGGGTTTACATTCCACTGGGGTGTGTGTGTGTGTGTGTACAACATGTATAGAAGAAGAAGTAAATGAAAATATGTTCAAAGTCACCCGAAGTAATTTCATTAGGGACTTGCATGCCAATAATGTAGCAGGTGAGGGCAACCCTTATAGAGGAGGTAGGGCCAGATATTTATTTTGAAGGAACATAAAAGATCCTTCAAAGTGAAGGTGAGAAAGATGTTCATTACAGACCTCAGCTATCCTGTGGTAATACTGTTTTTGCACACAGTTATTTATATGTTGTCTTCCTCATTAGACTGACTATAAGAGCAGGGATTGCCTTTTTCCCTTTTCTGTGCCCCCAGTGCTTAGCACCAGTGCCTGGAACATAGCAAGCACTTAATGCTTGTCGACCACCTGATCTTTGTTTACATGACTGACTTGGTTCTCCTGGCCAGTGAGGAATAATGTGGTCAGTCATCTGCCTCCCCAACTTAGAAATCCTCAGTCTGCTCTTGGGGAAATGGTCATTGTGTCTGTTACCTTTTCACTCCACGCTTGTCTGTAAAGGGCCTGACTATCTAGAAATCCAGGAAGGGTGTGCTTTAGTTCCACTGCAGAGGTGAGTGTTGCTTTCTGGCAAATTTGCCTGTACGGGGCTGGATGTCGAACTGGGCAGTCGAGGAAATGAAGTTTTCAGAGTCATTGTGCTCTCTTTTTGTTCCTAACAAAGGTGGGGGGATACTGGATAAAGAACCTTCCATACCACAATAGATTTAATGATTCTGTTGGTTGCTTTTGATGATTTCTTTTTTTTTTTCCTTCTTTTTTCCCCCCCTTCCTTGTTATAAGATGTGGCTGTCTAGGACAAGGGCAGGAAGGTTGTGTTGGGAAATGAAAGTGATAGCAAAAAAAATCAGTAACAATTAAACAGTAAATTATCCTATAAATAAATTAATAATTAAAAGAGAAGCTAATGTTCTTGCAATGAGACAAACCCAAGACAGGAAAGTAGGACCTTCCTTAGTATAGGATCTAAAGCTTGTATTGGGAACACTGGACTCTCTGTAAGTCAAATACACCCTCATCCATCTGCCAAGGGTCTAGAAGAAGTGATGTGAAAAGTAATGATTTGCTCTTTGTCTTTTCTGTCCATCCCTCATGAGTTATTTTTACTTTTATTTTTGTTTTTGCTTTCTAGCAATATCCAAGTGGCTCAGCCCAATGTTTGTAGAACAGAGGTCAGAGCTAGTTTTAGGTAAGAGGGAGAAAGAGTAGGGGCTAAATAGAAAAAGCGGAAGAAAAATTTGGACCACCTATAATACTTTGAGGGGCCAGTTCCCATTTTTAAGGTCATGATGGTAGAACTTTTAACATTAGGAACACATAAGACATGAGAAGGATTCATCAATTCCTAGGTCCCTGGTAGGACAATGCATTCCTCTGCCGTGGTACCATGGAAAGAATTCTGGCTCTGGAGTTATGGGACTAGATGTCATAACCTCTGATGTGTACTTAGGCAAGTCACTTTGCTTTCCTGATCTTCGGTTACCTCATCTTTAATTGAGGGAGGCCAATGGCCTCTGGGGTCCTTTCCAGCTTTGTATGATTCTGATGGCCTGGAAACCTTGAATAAATTGGTCTTTTCCTGTGGTTCAAAAATAGGCATCAAGGAACTTCCATCTCAGTTTCAGTGGCCCAGGCCACCTCGTTAGCAAAATAGTCATATTGAAACATAATGACCAGTTGGCTAACGCTAGAAGCCCTCCCCCTGGGAGACAATAGGATTTTCCCGAACAAAATCTTTAGGAATACTGGTGATAAAGAGAACCCCAAACAGTGAATGGGTGTTTCCTCCCCAGTGTGTATTGCTTATTCACTGCCTTTTTCTTTTTCCTCTCTCTACAGGCAGTGGAAACCAACCTGGCTTCTAAGGACAGTCACTGGGTGTTTGTTAATGAGGTAAGAGAGTCCTTAGACTGCACAGCCCTGGCCTGGGTTTACTTCTCCTTTCCCCATTTAACCCTCAACATATTACTCTTGCTGGCATCAGGGCCCAGACACTCAAACATTGCCCCTGTAATGATGGGAGTAAAAGATTGAAAGCCTTTTTTTTTTTGTTTCCTCCAAATTAAACTACAGTTGGAAGTACTTACATATGTACATGCATGTATGTATGTATTTGTATGTGTGTATGTGTGTTTGTATGTATGTGTTTTGGGAGTAGGGGTGGGATTCTAACTACATCCAAGTAGTACTGTAGTCAGAATATCCAAGTCCCATGATTCTCTTTGGCAACCAGTGGCAGCAGCAGAGGACTTTGGATGTAGGTTTGATATTGATATCCATCTCTAGTATGTACTTTTACTACTTGCCTGTCTTCTGTAGAGCTGAGATTATCAGCAACTCCTAAATTAACTGATCAATTTCTAATAGCTTCATTCCATGAGAAGCTAGGTTTATTTCGGAGGTAATTCATCCTTTTATGATACATTGTTCTCTATTAGCTCAGGCTAAAATAGTTTAAAAGGATTGGGTTTTATTCTAATAATTGTGCAGATAGTATCAGGTAACAGTTTGCTTCCTGGGCCTACTTTTCAGAGCTTTCCTTACATAAATCCTCATCATATTAGATGCTCGTTTTATCTCGACCAGTCATAGACATTTAAAGTAACTATCCATTTACCTTGTGGCACTTTTATAGTATGTAACACTGTAATTAACAGAGGGGACATTGCATCCATCCTTCCCTTTAGTGAAGGGCTTCAGAGAACCACTTGCAACCTCCTAATCGTCTGATGTCTGATGGTCTGAGCTCCATCAGCTTCTCCCCAGGCCCCAAAGAACAGAATTCTCTTTGTTCTCAGAGACACCCTAAGTCACAGACCTGAGGCTGAGTTTTGTTTTTTGATGTTTCATTCAGATTGTGGAGGGACCCCTACAGAATCCCCCCATAACTCTTACAATTCTCACAATTGCTACTAAGCTATGAGGAGGAGGAGATATATTTTTAACAGCAGGCATTTTCACCTCTGATCTCTCCCTCTCTCTCTCTGTCTTTTCCTTAGTCTCTGTTTCTTTCTTTTTCTTTCCCCTTTACCTTTATCTCTCCTATTTCATCCATCTCTTTCTATCACTTGCTATTCCTTTCTCCTCTTCTCCCTCCTCTCTCTCTCTATCCTTTTCTCTCCTTCACTTCTTGTTTCTCTTTTTCTCACTCTCTTGTTCTCTCCCTCTCATTCTATTTCCATCTTCCTCCGACTCTCCTGCTCCCTCTTTCTCTGCCTCCCTTTATCTATCTCTTTCCCTTTCCTTCTCCTCTTTTATCTTATCCTTTTTTCTTTTCCCATTTCTCTCCTCTTCTTTCTCTCATCACTCCTTTATGTCCTGTCTTTATACTTATCCATTCAATATTAGGGCTTACCCCTCATTTGTTCCAAAGTAAGGTTTCCCTTGGTGTTCCATGAAGTAAGGCCCATTCATTTTGCCATATCCTGAAAAGCAGCCTCATCCTGACCAGAATAAACAGCTACATGTACACTCTGCATAACCACAAAAATTTGTCATTTCCAAAGTATGTGATGAAATAAAATCAGAGGAATATTTTGGACATTGCTGTAACTATAATTTTGGTGTCAGTGTCAGGCTTCACCAAATATATGCAGGGGAAACAATAGCACACATCATGAATATGTTCTCGAATTGAATTTTGAAGACAATTTAGTTGGGGGACAGAGAAATGCTGGGACATTATCACAAGGTGGGGAGACAGAGGACCTAGGGAACCTTGAAGCCACTACTAGGTAGCCAATAATTAGGGGTGTCAGACAGCAGGAAAGGGCTGGAACAATGTAGCTGTCTCAAGGTAAGGGTGTGTACCAAATGGGAGCTTCAAATTTCAACTATTTTTTTTTCTTGCCAACAAGGTGCTAATTCCAGTTTTTATCCTAAGATGTTGAAAGGATATAAATACTACAAACACCTCATAATTGTGTCGCCCTGGGACAAAGTGCCGCTCACTCATCATAGTTACACCTATGACAGCTTGAGTTCATTACAGGTTTATGAAAAGTAAAGAGAAGATATTCACCTGGAGGACACACTTAAAAGACCCCATTCATTCTCTAGTAGAGAGGGAGATGAAAACACATTGACTTCCCACAAACTTTGCTTGCCTTCATGTGAGAATAAATAACCTCTTCTGCTTCATTCAGACATTAGAGTAAGCTTCACGTCTTTCTGCAATTCCCTAATTGGCACCTAGGGCCAAATTCTGTCAGGAATGAAAAGATGCTGGTAACGCTCAGGTCACGCCAGGTACTAGTGAAATTTTGTGATCAAGGCGTTTATGTTGACTCAGTTACTGACAATTGTTGTTGATTATAAGACCTCCAAGAAATTGCTGATTATGTAACATATTTGACATTTAGGTTTATGACAAGAAGATGCAATGGTTAGTAGGCAGTATTGGCTGCACAGTGAATAGCACGCTATTTATGAAGTCAACACCGGCTTTTTATCCTTACTTAACAGTTTATTACCTATGTGATATTAGATACTCCAGTTAACATCACAGATGCTCAGTTGCCTCATCTGTAAAATGGGAACAATAATAGCCCTTTCCTCATAAGGTTGTTATGAAGGTCAAATTAGGTAATATATTAAAGGTAAATATCTTAAATATCAAATAAGGTAATAATTAATAAACCTCGGAAATCTTAGTGCATTATGTAAATGCCAGCTATCAATTAAGTGATGAATGTGTTCAGCTATACAAATTCACAAAAGCCATCAACACGAATGGGAAAGGTTTGCAATCTTCATTAGCCATACCAGTGAAATCATGGTCCGTTGGAGTATTGAAATAGAGTGCTATTCAGTAAATGCTTTTCTGTATAAAATCAACTATTTTTCTTAGAGACAGCTCCCTTCAGTATTAAACACAGACACGTTCTAAATAACCTGGACATATGTTTTACTCTCTTCTTCTATCACCATATGGCTCAAGTGGAAAATAATCTTCCTGTTATTATTAGTTGCTTTTTTCTATGACATCATCTTAGACTCTTTGCATTTATTAACCATGGAAATTTTCCATGATCATTAGCAGTAGACTAATAAGTTTCTGGTTTTCTTTCTGGATAATCCCAGATTAAAGCTAAACCCATGTTGGCAAGTATTCTTAATTCATTTTTCATTGCATAATGATTTTGGTTAGTAAGAACTAGGGCTTCATGATGTAATGTATTTCATAGTGACTATTACAGCCTGATTTTGTTTGAATAAGAACAGATATTGAAAGTATGAGAGTATGTGACCTCATATTTATCTAATCTCTCTATACATATAAGCATATGTATGCATAGCAACATACGACTACATATATGTATATGTGTGAATTACATGTGTATATACGTATACACCCATGTGTGTTTAGTTACATACACCCAAACTTATATCACTTGCTCTTATTCAAGCAAAATCATGCTAGAATAGTTGTGTGTGCATACACACATATATAATCTGTATGTGTATGTATGCATATGTATATACACATACATACACATACACACGCATATATACATACATACACACATAATTTCACTATATAACTGACACCACTACCCACTTTAGTCTTTTCCTTTCCCTTCCAGATCACTGGAAGACTATTCAAAGTTTAAACTACAAACTTTTTTTTTTGGTGTTGGCTAATTAATTTAGACCAGGATTCCTTAAATTGGGGTTTGTGAAAAAAAAAAAGCTTAATTTTACTATATTTCTTTTGATCCTATGTATTTTATGCATTTAAAAACATCATTACAAGAAGGGGTCAGTAGGAGTTCATCATACACACACACACACACACACACACACACACACACACACACACACACACAACCTGCAAAACAACAAAATAAAGCAAAACACTTGTTCTAAAACTTGTAAGGAAATGCCCTTTCTGACAGAAACAGAGAAACGATAGATTTATTCCCATCTGAAGAATTTACAGTCTTTGGGTTTGCTATTCTCACCTTCTTCTTCCCTTGCTAGATTATACCACAATATTGTCAAATTGAGATCTCCCAGTATCTTTCTACTGTCACCACCAGTCCTTACTTAGCCCAACCGGAAAGCACCCATACCATGTGTTGCCTTTAAGTATATAAGAGAAAGAAGTTGGACCTTTCAAATTAGCTTTGATGACATTTATGGAAAAGCATATTAATTTTTTTTAATAAAACCTACAATTTGTTGTTGGATATTCAAGAATTGTATCCTAAAATATCTATTATATAACCAAATCAACCAGCTTATGCTTCCCGTACTCTCTGCCATGATCCTTTCATAATTCAATCAGCTCACGACCTATTCATAACCCACTTCCCTCCATCTTTCTTTGGATACATACCTAATATATGTCTCACTCCCAAACTCACTTCGTGTTCTCATCCCCCATTCAAATTTGTCTTTCCTTATCATGATTTCCACCAAATTCCAGGGTCATCACTTCTGGCCACATTCAGCCCTATAGTTAATAGATTCCATCTTGATTCAGTGAGTCATAACTTAATGCTCCTTACTAAAACAAAAAATCCCCTGACACATTCCCAATACTCTTCTAATCCATCTCTGTCTCTATTTCTTCTTCTTCTTCTTCTTCTTCTTCTTCTTCTTCTTCTTCTTCTTCTTCTTCTTCTTCTTCTTCTTCTTCTTCTTCTTCTTCTTCTTCTTCTTCTTCTTCTTCTTCTTCTTTTTCTTCTTCTCCTTCTCCCCCTCCCTCCTCCTCCTGTCTCTCTCTTTCAACACCCTCTTGAAGATTTATGAGAATACATGAATAAGGGTTGCAATTTAAGAAGGCATGGATGAGTTATAATGTATACCATTAGAGCAAGTGTTTACATCATTGAGTTCACAAGTCCATTAAAGTGTCATATGATTTGGGCCATATCCAGAGTAAATGG